TGCAAGTCTTTCTCTTCCACAGTCCGTGTGAGCTTTGCAATTGCTTCGCTCATTTGAGCAAGTTGTTCTTCAACAGAGGTGACGCCGATGGTCATGACTTGTGCAACCAATAGACACGACTTTCCTTCAGACATCCATAATGCTGATGAATAACCCCATTGGCCATTTTGGGGTATCATCTTGTGCGCCTTAATAGCATGCTTTGGTGCCCCCAGCATGGTCAGGTTGATGACCGACTCGCGCCTTTAGTGTTGCTCTTGCTTGCTTAGCGGTATCAACTTTGCAGCAGCATGTTGAGGAGTGGTTGTGGCACCAATGAATGCTCTATTCGTGGCGGAAGTGCTCATGCTTCTTCCCTTGGTGGTTGCAAGAATGGCTTGTCCCTTGCTTGATGCCATTGATTTTGGAGGTGTGCTTTGGTTTTCTTGAACGGAGAAAGAGATGAGAGGTAGAGATGGTCCCACTCGGCGTGCCAAATTTGTGAACATGAAAAATTCCTGACGACGAGGAACAAGAATACGTGGCACAAAATAATATTTTTGTGTTTAATGATTTTTGGGGTTACGATCTCTCTTAAATTTGGTCCTCTGATTCTATCTCCGTAAGATGTAGATTTATTGATCCAAGGGCCGTCGAGGCTTGATCTTGGATGAACAGTTGTAAGTTTCTTCAAGGGCCTTCGGGGCTTGATCTTGAATGTTGATGGATGAGCGGATCTTCAAGGGCTTTTGGGCTTGATCTTGAAGAACGGTTGGTTTTTTTCAAGGGCCGTCGAGGCTTGATCTTGAATGAATAGTTGGTTTTCTTCAAGGGCTTTTGGGCTTGATCTTGAAGAATAGATGTGTGGATTTGTTTGTTGATCCAAGGGTCGTCGGGGCTTGATCTTGGATGAACAGTTGTTGAACGGATCTTCAAGGGGCGTTGGGCTTGATCTTGAAGAATGGGTGTATGGGTTTGTTGAGGTTGTTGATCCAAAGGGCCGTCGGGGCTTGATCTTGAGTTGGTGGTAGTTCTTCAAGGGCCATTGGGGCTTGATCTTGAAGGAGGATTTGACGAAGAACGAAGAGTGCTTTCTTGATCCTTCGGAATTCTTGGGAATTTGGATGCTTGAGAGCTTTGGAGTTTCAAAGCTTCAAGGATTTGGGGAATTCTCTTCCAATTTGGGAGTAGAGAAATGTATTTGTGAATTGGTTTTCTTGGTTCTATTCCTCTTGATGGAGAAGCCTATTTATAGGTTTTGAGAATGAATCACCACCATTCATTTTTTTGGTGAAGTGAGTGGAGGTTGTAGGTGAAGTAAGTGTGTGAGGTTGGTGAAGTAAGTGGAGGTTGTAGGTGAAGTAAGTGGATGTTGTGGGTGAAGTAAGTGGAGGTTGTAGGTGAAGTAAGTGGATGTTGTAGGTGAAGTAAGTGGATGTTGTGGGTGAAGTAAGTGTGTGAGGTTGTAGGTGAAGTAAGTGGATGTTGTAGGTGAAGTAAGTGGATGTTGTGGGTGAAGTAAGTGTGTGAGGTTGGTGAAGTAAATGGATGTTGTAATTTTAATACATTGGTTAACATTTATTTTACTGAAATTTCGATGTCTACAGCATCATTTTTCTGATTTTAAAGAGAGAGTTGTGAGCTCTGGGTTTTCGGGTTGGCTCAGATCGGTAAGCATATCATGCACACGTCGTGTACATAAAGTGAGCAAATCCGGAAAAATTCATCCAACAAAACACTAGCATTTAATGATTGAGCTTTGTTCCCACTCTCAATGCGAGTCCAGTGGTGGTGGTCTTGAGCCTCGATTGTTTGCCGTGTTGCCAGAAAATGGTTGAAAAACTCGCAGCCTGCTTAAGTTTTGATCCCAATGATCGAGGATGAGATTCGTGACAAGGCTACGTGTTTTGGACTCGTGAGGACGAGATGGAATTGGTGGTAGCTTTGATATAGACGGTGTTGGTCGGGACGACTGTGCACCGTGTGTGCACATTGAAAATGGGAGAGAGTGCGTGAGGGAGAAAGTGAGAGAAGAGAGAGAAGTAGGGAGAGTGAGAGAGAAAGAGAAAGAGAAATTAGAAAATGGGAAGAATTACCCATTTATGTACGAGGGCAATTAAGTCATTTCAAGGTGTAGGAAAAATCTTATTTCTATCCGATTGTTGTGCATGTCATATGCATATTCGAAATATCCTATTTCTGTCCTAAGATTAAGGAATGTCCTATTTCTGGGTATTTCCCTTACAAATATCTCATCCAAATGTATATTTATGATGTCATGATACTGAGTATAACTAGTGATCATGTGTGAGCCGGGCGACAAAGAACCTCAATTTCTGACTTAGTTTTCATATCTCAGAAAATTAGGGCATGTTTGGTATCGTGTTAAAAAAAATCATAGTTTTTTTTAACTTTCCTTAGAAACATCTTTTAAGGACATTTTTCTTTAAGATCCAAGAACTTGTTTGGTCTAAGATTTAAAAGTGTTTTTAAATTTTAATATTTAAAAAGCAAAGAAAAACACCCTATAGCAACTCCATGTCAATTCAGGAAATACTAAATTCAATTGGATAGATATAGAGATCCAAAGAGAGGGTCGAAGGAGAAAGAGATGAGAGAGAGGAGAGAGAAATGTGAGAAAGATTCGGAGGGGAGGAGAGAGAAAGAAATGAGAGAAGGGACCGGATCAAGATAAAAGAGACAAAGTAGTGGGTTTGGAGTTTGGAGTTTAAAAACTCTAAAAACTCACTTTTGTGTTTTCTAGAAGTATGCTACTTTTAAAATTAGTTTTGAGTTTAGTTTTTTTTTAAACAATACTATCAAATAAGTATTCAAAAGTAAAAAAATTTAAAAACTGTTTTTTAGTCTAAAAAAATTTGAATTCAAATAGAGTACCAAACATGCCCTTTACATTTCTTGATGTAGTGCACATCGATAAATATGATCCCTATATTAAACACGTTTGGTGGTTTCTCATCTTTTAATTAAAGCATGCTTTTATTAGGTGCTTTAGTAATTATAATATTAGTATTAAGTATCTATCTTACCAATGTTAATTTCTCTACTTAAAGGACTCATACGTACATTACGAGAGACTTGATTAATTAAAAATTGTACCTACTTCGCAATATCGAACTGAATGTTTTTTTCCCTAAAATCAAGCATTTGGATTGGTCATGAGTTTGAATTCACGATTAGTGACATCGAACAAACTCCGTTGCCCTTAATTGAGTAATTCTCAAATTATCTATGCCCCGCCTCTTCGAGACCTTTAACCTTTCCTAGCTACATCATTTCTTAAAGACAAAACTAACATACAATTTGCATGAAATTGGATGGAATCAAAAGATAAGATAAGAACTTAACCTCTTTGACATTCCAATATTCCAAAATACTTTACGAAATCGGGGATTAATTTGAGATTTGTGGATAAAAACTATGAAACATAGAACTAAATAAAGAGATCTTGAATTTATACAATCTCGATCGATCAGAAAGTGTATACATACATCGTGTGTGTGGAGAAACTTTTAGTTGTGACGGGAACACAAATGGTACACCACGTATTTTAATAGGAATGATGTGAAATTTTATTTTTTAAGTTATTAACTTTTTAGCACACATCAGCTCACCATTTGTATAGTAACATGAAATGGTACGTGTACCACCCCATGTATCGGTCACATTGAAAAATCTCTCGTGTGTGGTGTTTGTCTATGAGTTGTAGCCTTTCTTTCTTCTTATTTATATTAGTTGGCGGCTTCTGTTTCGTATTATTGGTGTCTTGCTAATATACACACCCCTATATAAGAATGTTGTTATTTTGGACTATGTTTGTTAAATACAAACTAGTCTTAGAGGCATAGCTAGGTAGGGTATACCGCGTACCTTTACTGGAGGGGTGGTTAACATGGAGTAATTTTTTAGTATATTCGGAACACCGATCTCTATAAAATGTTAAAAAAAATTTCTACTTTTACTACACTAGTAGTACTTATTTAATAGAGATAAGATCCATATGTATTGGTGGACTTTACCTTTACTAAAGTTGGTACAAATGTGATATATGTAGTATTACTCCATATCATTACTATTATTTCCAAATTTCATAATTGGAATCTTTCAATATCTTTCTTCATTTAAACACCATTCCTAAAAAAATCATTCATATTGGAGATGTTTCGTCATCCAAATGTATGAAAAGCGACGATATAAGTATTCATATAACCTATTTATGACAAAGCGTCCATTTTTTAGGAGAAGTGTTATTGGCACTCCAAAATTCTCATTCTACACTCCTCACAAGTGTATTTTTCTTTTAAAATATAAAAAGTTTGGAATGTAAAATGAGAAATTTGGAGTGCTAATAAAAATTCTCTTTTTTAGATGACTACTCAGTCTCCAATATGAATGATTTAATGTTGAAATTATCTTTAAAAAAAGATTAAAAAATGAAACAGTTCCATTTATAAAATTTACAGAGAAAAGATATATTATTCGCAATGATAAGATATGTGCATTCCCATGATAAATAGTATCCGTGTGGAAATATGTTTACAAGTCTGGACGCAATGGTCTTCCCAAGGCTGGACGCGGTGTCCCGGTCCCAAATATGTTTACAAGACTCGTCGATTTGTCACCTTTAACACCAGTCACCTTGCATGTAATGTGCATGGCCAAGTGTACGCAGTCCGATGATAAGAATTATCTGTGTGGACATTACTATCCCCTTAAAGCCAACCTCTGCAACCAATTCGTCCATATTTTCCAGATTCGTCCACGTAAGAAATGATTTTCCCAAGTTTGGACGCGGTGTCCCGGTCCCAAATATGTTTACAAGGCACGTCGATTTTGTCACCTTTAACACTAGTCACCTTGCATGTAATGTGCACAGCCAAGTGTACGCATGCATGTTTAGCCCCAACTTCTATAAATACCTCAAAACCCTCTGCTATTCTTCCCACAGCAAAAAAAAAATCCCTTTTGATATTGTTCAATACATAGTAACCGAGAAAGCAGCCATGATGTTCATCACCAAACCTAAGCTTCCCTTGTTTTTGTTCCTCTTCACTCTTGTCCTCGCCACCTCTTTGTCTTGCACTCTTGCTTCTCGTAGCCAGGGGAAGCAACAGCAATATAGGCAGCAGTGCCAGCAGCGTTGCCAGGGCCAGGGACAGCAGTGCCAGGAGCAGTGCGAAGAGCAGCTGAGGCAGCTGGATCAGTGCCAAGAACAGTGCCGGATGCAGGGGCAACCGCAACACCAATGCCAACAGATGTGTAGGCAGCAGCTTGAACAAGAGCAGGGATTTAATAGTAATCAAGGGAAGCAGCAGCAATATAGGCAGCAGTGCCAGCAGCGTTGCCAGGGCCAGGGACGGCAGTGCCAGGAGCAGTGCGAAGAGCAGCTGAGGCAGCTAGATCAGTGCCAAGAACAGTGCCGGATGCAGGGGCAGCCGCAACACCAATGCCAACAGATGTGTAGGCAGCAGCTTGAACAAGGGCAGGGATTTAATAGTAATCAGGGGAAGCAGCAGCAATATAGGCAGCAGTGCCAGCAGCGTTGCCAGGGCCAGGGACGGCAATGCCAGGAGCAGTGCGAAGAGCAGCTGAGGCAGCTAGATCAGTGCCAAGAACAGTGCCGGATGCAGGGGCAACCGCAACACCAATGCCGACAGATGTGTAGGCAGCAGCTTGAACAAGGGCAGGGATTTAATAGTAATCAGGGGAAGCAGCAGCAATATAGGCAGCAGTGCCAGCAGCGTTGCCAGGGCCAGGGACGGCAGTGCCAGGAGCAGTGCGAAGAGCAGCTGAGGCAGCTAGATCAGTGCCAAGAACAGTGCCGGATGCAGGGGCAACCTCAACACCAATGCCGACAGATGTGTAGGCAGCAGCTTGAACAAGGGCAGGGATTTAATAGTAATCAGGGGAAGCAGCAGCAATATAGGCAGCAGTGCCAGCAGCGTTGCCAGGGCCAGGGACGGCAGTGCCAGGAGCAGTGCGAAGAGCAGCTGAGGCAACTAGATCAGTGCCAAGAACAGTGCCGGATGCAGGGGCAACCACAACACCAATGCCAACGTATGTGTAGGCAGCAGCTTGAACAAGGGCAGGGCATAAAAATGGTGGTCAACTATCCAGTCATCTAAAATTGCATGTATAGAAGCATGCAGTAGTTAGGCTTTGCTAGAGTTTAAAAAGTACTACTACTACTACTAGTAGCTCATGTAGAGTGAGCGTTAACTTTGTATGTGAAATAAAGAGCTCTAGCTTTCCGCCGTATAAATAAATAAAAATGAGTAGTTTTATAATTCCGTTTGTGTTTATTCATGCATAACTGCTCTTTTGAGCTTGGATACTGTCAGTTCCAATATCAGTCTATAAGCCCTAAAAGACGAAACACATACTACTACCATGCATCCTACATTTTCCAATATTTAGTGTTACTGGTTTTAGCTATCAAATATAACGTACCATAATAATTTGGTATCTTATCAAATTCATCATCTGCAAACCATCTAAAATTTAGAGAAAGAAATCCTCATGTCGAACCTGAAACTTGGAGATAAAAGTATTCCATTCAGGGTCGCTTCCCCCATGTTAGTTAATGTTAAGTTAAATACTCAGCATTATGATACGGTATATACCATAGCTATCCATATGAACAATCTTTACCCGTCCTAGTGTCGGCCAAATACGTTAATGTTAGTGTCATACTATCATATACATAATGCATGCATCCGTTAAACATTAACTTTAGGGCTAATTATATTTCATAATCTTCAAATTCATGGTGATTTTTCAAATGGACAATGAAGTTTCAATTTTAAAATGCATGCGTCCGTTAAACATTAATTTTAGGGCCAATTTCTATCTTTAGTCGGATTGATTGTTTAATTTCTCATTAAATTGATGACAATGGAGTGTATGACCATTACATAGGCTAGCGTGTAAGCTACAACTCATCACATTGCCAAAAAAATGATCAATTCAATGAAATATATGTTTAAAAAGATAAAACGCATAAATTGATACCATTTTTGAGACATGCAATGTGGGAAACTTAAAAATTCGTGATCCATATAAAAATTATATCAAACTTGAAAAGAGTAAATTGTAGTTAGCTCTTAATTTTAAGAAGTCATTCACCACGTAACCGTACGTATAGTTCCGTCCTTGTTCTCCTATACCATGCATGTGATGAGATCAAGTGAGACAAAATTAATGTCTCCAATCTCAATTTATCCAATTCAGAAAACACGTCAATGTGATTTTGTCATGTATGACACTGGTCACCTTGCATGTAATGTCCATAGACAAATGTACATGCATGCATGCTCAAAGCTTGAGCCGGCTAGCAAGCTTCCATAAATACCTGATCAAGTGCTATCTGCAGCTATCTTTAATTTTACCATTTGACATGATGTTCATGATCAAGGCTAGGCTTCCTTTGTTGTTATGTTGTTTCTCTCCACTCTTTTCCTCTCTGCGGCGTCGTACATGATGTCCGAGCTGGCTCAATGTCATCAACGCTGTGAGAGGCAAGTCGACCCAATTAGGCAACAAGCTACGATGCCAAAATATGTGTTTGCGGCAACACGCGCAACACCTAGAGTGCCTGTAACATTGCCTACGGAGTAGTACTACTCATCCATCACCAAAGCTATGCCAACAGATTTGTGGCCACCAATTGCAACGCTGTACGCAGGTACTCGAGTAGTTCATATTTAAGTGCGCTGTTTCCGCGGACATGAAAGAGCCCTAGTTTTCTGTTTAGAAAATTATATAATGAGAATGAGTTCAATGTTTTGTGTTAATTTGGAAGACCTCATGATACTTATGACGAGTTATAATATTGTGATTAATTTGATTTTTGGCTTCTCATTACAAAATACATACAAAAAAGAAAAAAAAAAGAGTATTACCAATAATTAAAGCGGTTATTACCAATTTGTGAGGCGCGTTGTTTAGACGAGGGTGCTACCAATTTTGTTATGGATGACAACGGTTCAGTTTGGGGACAGAAATGTTATATCCATCCCCATAATCATGAAAATTAATTATATTCACAATCACAAATTAACCATGGAAGATTATCCATAATCATACTCACCAGGTAACAAATTATCCATCGGTTAACGGTTATATCCATCTTTATCAATATAAAAAAATATATTCATTCAATTAACGCACTATAATTTAGTATATACTGATTTTGTCAATAAATATCCACGTCCAGTCATAAAAATAAATAAAAGAAATACACATTCTTTGGAGTTGTTCATGATAAGCCAAATATGATAAAAATTAAAGCATTGAATTTAAAATATTGATGATGTTGGCTGATCTTTGTTATCTCTCCTAAGCACCATTGAATTCTCATTGAGTTTGATTCAAAACCTTTCAACTTTTCCACATAATACAACTCATATAATGCAACTTTTGTATTCTCAAGGTAATGGGTTTGTGAATAATATACTATTATATTATAAATAAATTATATTATATATTATACATATTATTTGTGACGGATTCGGGGAGAGATACGGATTGAGGACCCCTATAACCATATCTAAAACCATAAACCGAATACTATTCACGGTTTTCTCCCATACCCAAAATATACCTGAATTTTTATACCAAAATCTGTTCCACTCGGGCAGTTATCCTTGCTTATCGAGCTTAATGGTTTAAATTGCCATCCCTACTCCTTTCATCTTTTTCATTGCTTTTTATAATCGTGCAGTGTTGATTGATAATTGATAGGATTTTTACCACCTGCAAAAGTAGGGATAAAAACACTTAAAAATACTTGAAAGAGTACAGGGTAGTTGTAGTATAAACAGCTCAAGCAAGGTCGTTTCCACAGAGATTGAATAATTAATTTTTATTTAAAACCAACTCTTAATTAATTATTTAAAACAAAGTTTGGAAAATATTGATTTTAGAATTTAAAATAATAAAAACGAATTTAAATTAAAAACAATTAAATAAATCAACTAGAAAACAATTTAAAGAAACACTAGGGTTCCGCCGTCACCTTAACAATCCTACGTAGTTCTTCCAATCACTTATGAATTACCCATGCATATTTTGAAGGTTAGGTTTTCCTAATATATATTCTACTTGGAACCTCCAACATAGAGCATATATCTAAAATGCAATCCATCCGGACGTTCGGATCAAATATGAACATGAAAGACTCATTAAGTTTTATGAAAACCCTTTGAAAAATCATGCAACCCTTAAGATGTGGTGTTCATCCAAAGTGAAATTACAATTATTAACCATGAGAAGTCAGTGCCAATTTCACGAAACCTTCCGACCAAAATTGCATCAAATTACTTTTCTAAATATCTTAATGGTCGCGAATCACTACGGCAATTAGATAGTTTAAAATGGTGATTAATAATTCAAAACATGTGTTGATGCACAAAATCGACGAGCACTTTGGTACAACAGAAAGTGTCAAGTTTGTGACCTTCGCTAGATTGCTCTGGTCATTAGTGTGGATAAGTATGTAAATGAATAGAGACAGGGAAGCAAACAACACAAGATGTACGTGGTTCACCCAGATTGGCTACGTCCACGGAGTAGAGGAGTTCTCATTAGTTGTGAAGGGTTTTCACAAATACTTAGGTTCAAGCTCTCTTTTAGTGAGTTCTAGTGAATAGTTTAGTACAAATGACATTAGGGATTATTGTGGGAGAATGATCCCATTTTATAGAAGAGAGTTTCTAGCTTTGTTCTGACATTGACACGTGTCGTGTTGTGATTGGCCTCTGATATCGACACGTGTCGCGCTGTGATTGGCTTCTGATACCGACATGTGTCGTGTTGTGATTGGCCTCTTGGTTGGAGGAAAAGTCTTGTGGGTCCTTGACGGTATGTTGTTGACCGGTGCTTAGTAGTTTCGGGATTGGTCAAGTATGGTACAAACAGTGCTCCCCTAAGTTCCTGAGTGAGGGAAGCTCCTTGGTTGGGGACTTGCAAGATCCAAGCCATTGAGTAATCACAAAACTTCCAAGTACCGAAGTGTGGTGTCGCCTTCACTTGCCTTCTCTGTCCTGTAATTAGATGTGGCATCTTCTCTTGGAAGTACTTTTCCTTCATCCAGGAGTGGTATCTTTAGTTGGCATTGACGCACAAGGTAATGTGTCATTTTCATTTGAAGCTTACTTGTAGTTTCGGGTTTGGTCAAGTGCGATACAAACCATATAGTAGGAGTCCCCCAAGTCTCTAAGCGAGGAGATCTGCCTAAGGAGGTGACAAGCAAGGTAAACAATCAGGGTTCCAAGCAATCAGTCTCAGATCGGTAGGTTGATCTTGGGTTCTGGCTGATTGTACTCATTCTCCCTGTCTCTCATTCAGCAACAAGGATAAAGAGAAGAAACAGGGAGAATAGATGATATGAGGTACTCTTGTTTTTGGAGAAGACGGCGAATCGGCACGTGCTTTGTTGTACTTGACTTTCCACAAGTGTATTCTTGAACTGGGCTGGAAGGTTTTCTGGTTTCCTCCAAACGAGCGAGCCGACTCCAGAATTTGAGGGTCAAAACAAGTCCGTCAAACCTGGAGTATGTTCGATCCTAATGATATGGGATACTTTTGCTGTTTGACAAAGTAGTAGATGTGGTATGGTGAAGCTTTGTTCTTCGACAACGGTGTTGGCAAATGGCTGTTGAGGCTTCTTGATCTCTTCAGTTAGAGCAATGATGCCGAGCTTGGATTTTTTATTTTGTTGAAGTTTGCATGTTGAAACTTCGTGGGTGGACCCTGTAGGTTGAAGTAGTACTCCCTAAATTTCTTGAGTAAGGAAAACTTCTCGGTTGGGGACTTGAAAAATCCAAGGCACTGAGTAGTCGCGAAATTTCTGAATACCAAGGTGTAGTGGTATATGGTAGGAGCCTTCAAGTCTCCGGTCGAGAGAGTTGACGAGGAAGGTGTCTTGCTAGTAGGCAATTTTCCAAACAAAACTTCACCATTTTCCTTTCTAAGTGGTTGCCCAAAATTCTCTTTCATATATATTTGGTATGAAAGTTGTTAGGCCCAAAGAAAGGAAGGCCTAGGCTCATCTTTCTTTCCTTCTTTCCCTTTTTTTTTTTTTTTTTTTTTTTTGAATTTTCGAATTTTTGAATTTTCGAAAATG